CAGCGCCTAGGCGCTGCCCAGTTTCTGCCGGAGCAGAAACTGGGCGCCTAGGCGCCATGTCCAGGCGCCTAGGCGCCCCGAATGCAGAAGGGAAGCAGAATATTGGCGCCTAGGCGCCACTTCCATGGCGCCTAGGCGCCCCGGCATGTATATATATATGCATTTTTTCCCTCTTTCATAATATAACATACACAACCCAAGACCTAGAGAGAAAAGAGAGAAAACTTTGGAGAGAATTTTTACAAGTTGAAGGTGTTCATCTTGGGTATAAATTCAAAGGTATTTTCTTTCTTGGGGATTAACTTGAGGCTTGTTCAAGTAATCCAAACACATTGAATTTCATATATTCTATTGGAAATCATTTCTTCCTCATTTTCTTGTTCTTAAAGTGTTTTGAAAATTTTCACTTTGCCAACTTAGTTTGATCTTTGGGCATTCATTGGGAGGTGTTTTCCCAACAAGAACAAACCAATCTTGAAGGTTGCTAATGATGAGTGCTACTTTTGTAAGAAGAAAGGTCATTGCATGGCTCAATGTCCTCTGTTGAATAAAAAAGGTCGGCAACAATAGAAAGAATGACAACTTCCTTTGTCGAAATTGGAAGGCTCGTTGTCCTCTGTTTTCACATTTGTGTGTTTATGGAAATTTTTCTTGTTCGTGCCTTGTTCTGCAGCGATTCTTGTGGAATTAACTTATTCGCGGATGAGCATTGGAAAACAATGGAAGGATTTTCTAGATTAGACTGACAGAATAGGATGTGATTTTCCCATTTTCCTGAGGATGATTTCTTTTGCAGAAATTGTGTATCAAAGATGTATCTTCTCCTTTGGCGATCATTGACTGACCAGCTCGTATAATGCACGAGGACGCATAAGACAGAGGTGATAGAAACCATTTTACAGTGCAATCGTGTAGCATTCAGGGACTAAGAGGATCCAACTAAGCAGCTGTCGGATTTGTTCTATTGGTTTGATAGAATGTTGAATACAATTCTACTAGTTTCTAGCTCTTGTTCGGGAATTCTTTATTACCTTGCAGTATACATAAATATGAATTTTTCATTAGTCCATGTCTGTTTCAGTCTCTTGCAGGGCACAATGGCCGTTGGATTAGAAAGTGTGTTCTTGGAGAATGGAGATTCCTACATATGGAATTGAGAGTATTGTCTATACAAAGATTTTCAGAATTTTAGCACACTTTCAAGAGGATGGTAGCCAATATTTTAAGTAGATGTGACTGTGCCCTTGTTTGGCCTCCATTATTTCGATTTATAATTTTTGGAATACCATTTTTTTTTTTTTTTTGGAGAATTTGCAGTTAAAAAGAAGAAAAAATTCCAATGCATGTGTAATATAAGTTTTTTGAAAGATTGTGTGATTGAAAATAAGACAGAGAATTATAATTTGAAATAATGGAGGCCAAACGAGGGCTATATAAACTGCCCAATTATTTTAAACCTTGAGAGGAACAGTTCATTAGTAAATCAATGTACTTTTTCATTTTATGCTGCCAGGAAAAAGTTGTAGGTAGGCAACCTCAGCTGCATTTGTGCACAATCATTTCATACAGATGAACTATACCCCCAAATTGACATATTTGTATAATATTAATTTGGAAAAAGTCAAGCAACGATCCCTAATCTTTTCACTTTTTTGTAGATTTTACAATAACTTTCATTTTGTGTAAGCGGAGATTCCTAACATTTCATAAATATGCACTTGAAGTCCATATCAACGGAAACCGTCCAACACACCATTAATTGATTGAAAAAATTAAGGAATCAATATCCAATAAAATCGTCATGATAGCAAATAGTTCAAGAAATTTTCCCAATCAACTTACGGTGTTTTGGACGGTTCCATCCAGATGGACCTCAAGTGCATATCTATGAAAGGTAAGGGCCTTTTACTAGCACAAAATGAAAAGTAAATGTAAAGTTTGCAAAAAATGAAAAGGTTAGAGATCGCTGTTACAATTTTCCATATTAAATTTTTTGACGAAATATTAAAAACCTGAAGTTTTAAAAGGCACGAGGAGACACGAGGTGGTAAGATCAAAAAGGTTACGTCACATGAGAACTTAAGTGTAATAAAACATTTTCTTATTTTAATACCTTCAAGAAAATATTTGTTTAGTTATTCTAAGACCATTAATTATCTATTTTAATTATTTTATAAGGCTATTAATAATTATTGATTTTATTTAGTTAAATTTATTTTACCTTTTAAAAAATTGGACAAAAAGTAAAATATGAAAAAAAGTACTTGGCCGTACTTATTATTTTTAAAACATATTTTTTTCTTTTATTTTTATTTACACATTTTTCAATAAAATAATATTACATGTAAATTCAAAAAAAATTATTTTTTAATCATATATTCTCTAATAAAATACAATTCCAAAATACATATTAAACAAAAAAATGAACCTTTTTTTCTTAACACTTTCCAATACGTGGCTATTTTCCTAACACCAAGACCTACCTAGGCCATGCCTTTTAGAAGGCCATATAAACCTAGTACAACTTAATAAACATCACAAAACATACATAAAAAAAAATAATAATAATAAAAAAATTGCTAGGTATACTCGATTACAACACATTCTAATGGCTACTAGATAGAAAATGATTGGTGTACAAGTAAGGATTCCCTGCTAACACCTCACATTGGAAGGTTGGTTTAATTTGTTGACAATGTTTATTTAGTGAGACTCACACTTTTGTGTGTTTTTTGTAGGAAAATTTCTGTACACCAACTATTTTTGCTACTGGATGGCTGCATCACAAAAATTGTGCACAAGTTGTCCTTTCAACGATTGTTTGAGAGCATCTATCTAAATTTATTGACACCAACTATTTTTGCTACTGGATGGCTGCATCACAAAATTGTGCACAAGTTGTCCTTTCAATGATTGTTTGAGAGCATCTATCTAAATTTATTGACACGTTGTACTTTAAACCCTTATTTGATAAGAATTAAAACCTAAATTTTAATCTAATGCTTTGTTTGAACCCCCCTTTTTTGTCAAAAATGTTTTAGAATAATAATTGATGAAGAATATACGATTAAAAAATAAAAAAACTTTTTAAATTTACATGTAATATTATTTTATTGAAAAATGTTTGAGTGACAGTAAGAAAAAAATGTATTTTGAAATGAATAGAAACCAAACAAGAGCTAAGCTAAAGTCAATAATTAATTTCAATAACACATTTCATACGATCTACAACTTTTCAACAACACATTTCATTAACTTTTATCAAAATTTACTAAAAATTTAATTTTAATCTCCACCAAACAGAGACTAAGCCCCCATTTGTTTCTCATTCTTTTCTCATTAAAATGAAAAATATGACCGTTATTCATGACATCAAGCCACCAAATTTGAATTTTTATATCTTGTGTAGGATCCATAACGACTATATTTTTCATTCTCATTCTTCCAAAAATGGAAAACAAACGGAGCCTAAATATTGCCTTTCATTCCCTAACAGCCCACAATAAGAATACTGATTTTCAATTAACACCTTCACTTCCAATCTATTCAAGGCATGGAAGGAAAACTATATAGGGGCAGGTAGGGTCGCCATGAAAGAATTTCCCCTTCTCCTTGCAAAATTGCCTCTTCATCATCTTCCATGTAATCATCCTTTATGTAAAGCCCAAGTTGCTCAAGAGGTTTTCTCAAGTTACCCCTGCTGATGGCTCCCATTATCACTTCAAGTTCCTCCATACTCTCTTGATTCTCATCAATGCCAACAGTTTCTCCAATCTACATATAGTGAATCAAACACCAGAAATTTTAAATTTCTTTAGTATACCACAAGGCAAATAATAACAGAATTGCACAAGACCAAGAATTGAAAAAAAAAACGAGGAGAAAAAAAAAAAAAATGACCTTTTCTACTGCAATTCTGGCAGCTTCTCCTTCTCTCTCACGCTGCATCTTTGACTCTGCCTCTGCCTCTGCCTTCATTCTTAAGCCTGCTTCAGCAGCTCTAAATTTGGCTGCAGTCCTAGCCTTCTCTGCAGATAGTCAAAAAAAATATTACCAAAGGCAGAGAAATACTAATGCAATACTCATATAACAAAAGAACAGAATGAATGTTAGATATCTAAATGAAAATTATTGAACCATCTTCAAATTCAATACCAGATAGTAGTATCCCAAAAAAAATGGAAAAATCATACACTAGAGGTTTCACAGGAATGTAACATTCTAACACACATAAGAATTTTAACTCACTTGATATTTTCACAAGCTCTTTACACAAATCACACTTTTCCTTCAACAACATTGGCCTCCCATTCACAGCTCTGTTAAGGTAAGACTGTTTGGCATTTTGGCCATTCTTATTTATTTTGGGCTTTTTATCTTGACGTTTCTTTTCTATTTTATCTAAATTGCTTAACTGTTCGAGATTTCTGCCCGTGCACTTCAATTTTGTCTCCAATAATTTCCATCTCTGATTCAAAACATCAATCAATTCCTTCGCAAAGTTATTGACATGTTTCCCAGGAGGATTGTACAACATTGCATTAGAAAAAGTCGGACTGATATCACTAACAAATTCCCCTGCATCAAAGTACATATTGTCCTCTAGTTTAAGCTTTGTAGTTCCCAAATCCATTGGTTCAGTGATTATTGAAAAATAATCAGGAATCTTCAGCTTCACAGGATCATCAACTGGTTGATCGAAAGCAAATCCGTGAGGGTGGTCCATCAATGATCTCAAAATGCCCGTACACTGCTGCTTGAAACTTTGGTTCAACCTCTTCCTTTTCTCCCTCCGACACTCAAGAATCGCTCTAGGCTTGTGTTTGTTAAGAGTTTTCTGACGTTGACATGGAAAAATCGCCTGGAATAGATTTTCCATTTGTAGTAACTCGATCTCTACTTTCGTTGTTCACAATCATCATGTTTTAACGTGACTCGTCTTCTGCTTCACGGCGTATTCCTTTCGATGTGATTTTGAGCTTTACTCCTCTTCAGTATATTATCAAAAATCAACTGCTACCATAGTGGAAAATTGCAAGTGCCAGAGTGGGGAGCAGATTAGACTTCCAGATTGATTCTGAGCAACCATAACCATTGGACTCGACAACACACTGCACATTATTAAAAGCAAACAAAAGATTATTTAGGACCTAACAATGAGTAAACTAGTGCTTTTTACTTTCTTCATCCCATGAGATCTGGTTGTAGTTAATAGCCCATAATAGTCAGACACAAAGATATTTTTTACTTCGATCGCAGACCCATATTCACACACAGAAATGGCTCATTCAAGTAGTGAATTAAATTAATAAAAGAAACTACTAAGAAAAACTTATGCCTAAGTCGCATAAATACTAAATACCGTATAAAGTAACTATTTCAAAGTCAAAAACTAATGTTTAACTAAAAAAATAACAGAACACAAAAAATCAAAAAACAACTTTATTTTTTCCATAGGTAGAAGAAGAACAAAAAATCTATGAGTAGTTTCTCTATTCTATGACCCATAATCGTTTAAAAAATAATTTTCAAATGATGGAAAAAAAAAAAAATAGAACCAATTGAAATAAAACACAAAAATCCATAAATCTAAAATTAATAATTACAGCATAAAAAAGGAAACAATATAAACCAAAAAACGCCCAAGTTAACCAAGAATCAATTAACGAAACCAATTTCTAGAATATCTGTAAGCAACAAAACAAACCTCATCAAGTAAATCGACCACCAACGTAGTACGGATTCGAGGAAACGGAAATCAATTAAATGACAATGTAAGATTTAACGAGTAGTGAGGGACACCTTTCAAACGCTGATTAACTGTGATGCCACAACGGAAAGAACTTTTCTGCCACGAGCTGGCTGTTGGTCCGTGAAGCGGAAGCTTGGGTTTGGTCCAAGCAGCCGGTTTTCGCACGAGGTTGAGAAGTAGACTGAAGAGAAGCAGCCGCCGGTGTCGCACCTTTTCCGTCACTGTCCCGTCGAGTTCCACGGATTAAACCCTAGATTTTTTAGTTTAGAGGGTAGGATTATTAGTGAATTTCAGAGGAGATTATGGGTAAATTGATGGATTTAAAAATTGGATTGAGGAAGAAGAAAGGAGAGAGGGGAGAGAGTCAATAATGCTGGTTCGGTTAAATGATGTGGGCGAACCATTAAATTATATTTCTTTTTTTTTTTTCACCCCATTTTCAATCATATAATTTTTTATAAAATAATATTACACGTAAATTAAAACAATTTCCTTCTTTTTCAATTACTCAATTAAATATATATATCCCATCCATTTTGACCAAACGAATGGCATTGAGTGGTTGTGAATTTTAAGTGCACCAAAATGCTTTCAGCCCACTTTATTCTTATAAAAAATAAAAATCAAAAAATGCTAATTTTTAAAATGAGCTAATTGTCCCAATGGTCACTGAACTTGTGTCTTCGTCTTTGATTACTCACTAAACTTGAAAATGTTGAGATTCGATCACTGAATTTTCTCAAATGTTGGACGTTGCTTACTGAGTTAACTTTCATTTCTGATCCCTAACAGCGACGGTGACATGGCTAACAGATTGTCCAGGTGGCGCCACGTTGCTGTTATCTTTATTTACTGAAGTAAAAAAATGTCTTCAATTACTTATTGAATTTTGACAAATGTCTTTAATTGCTCACCGAACTTTGACAAATGTCTTTAATTGCTCACCGAACTTTGACAAATGCCTTTGATTGCTCACTAAACTTTGAACAACGTATTCGACTACTCACTGAACTTTGAAATTGGTCGAGTATTAAACATTGAGCTTATGAAAATGCAGATTATGTTGTTATTAATACTCTTAAATAATATTGGTAGGTTTGTATTTACGTCCATAGTTCTAATAGAAAATTTAGTCCATTTTTTCATTTGAATTCATATTGTCACGAACAACCATAAAATATCAACGTACAATTTATAGCACAAATATGATCTGCTATGGTTGAAGTAAATTTTCACCTAAAATGTCTCATCCTTTTCCCCTTACCACTTCCCCAGCCTCTATAAATAAGGTATATACGTGGAATGACATTTGGAAAGTTAAAAAGTTGGAAATTTTCAAAACCAATAGAATATGCAAAGCTTTAAAACCAGCAACATTTACGCAATAATACCAGGCATCCCAAAACTAATGACATTTTGGAAAGTGAAAAAGTTAGCCTGTAAACTATTAACCAATTTATGCAACAGCAGGCATCTCTTTTAGTTGGCATTCATAAATGTAATTACAGTTACCCAAAAACATACACCAGAACATCCAAAAACCATCACATACTAATTACATTCAACCAAAAAAGTGCACCAAAAGCCATCTGCCAACCATCCAAAAAAACCACCAGAATATTGAAATCAGTCCAATTAGGTGGGCTGTCCAACACTTCCTCTGTCCGAAGTTAGTTTTCTTCCAGTCACCCAGCTCTGTTCTCTTTCAGAACAAACTGGCTCCAGGGTTATGTTGAACCACTCCTAAATGGACAAAAGTACTGATAAGAAGGGAGGAAGAAATAGAGAAAAAAATGTATATTTATATTAAATAGGTAGGAAGAAATGGTTGACAAAACTTACGAATTCTGGAGCATCGGCCCTTGCGTGAGATTTTTTATTGTGCCCTTTGCCCGCTACAGACAAAACATGTCATTATGCAATTTCCCTTTTTTGATATTTTAGACCTCCCTCGTGAATGTACAATATAGTCTTCTTCAGCTCCATTTCTTCTCTCTCTCTCTCTCCTTTTTTTTTTTTTTTTTTTTTTTTTTTTTTTTTTTTTTTTTTTTTTTTTTTTTTCCCCTTTTTTTTTTTTTTTTTTTGTTTTTATTTTTATTTTATTTTATTTTATCTCTTTCCCCTTTGTGTTTCCACCCAATTAGTAGCTTCGATTGGAAGAGCTTCCACAATTGGCCACAAAAAAGATCCGTTCATAGGACTGAGCATGTTTTCGTAGCAAGCAAGGTATCTTTCCACTGAGTAGCACCTATCCACATAATCCTCTGGCTGATTTTGTGTGTCCAGAATAACTGCAACTGCATGATAGCATGGAACCCCTGTTAGTTCCCACCGTCGACAGGCACATGTACGTTGTTGCAAGTCAATGACGCCGGGTAGGATAGTGATTATCCTATTGGCTTGTTGTAGCAGATGATTCGCAAGAAAAGAACGACAGAAAACGCCCAAAAAATCAGAAAAAATACTCTGAATTCAACTCAATATTATTAATAATGCAGAATGATGAAAACTAACCCACAAGTCGGGTTAAATAGCTGCAAAATACGAAATTATGGAAAAATTACCATAAATGGTAAAATCCCAAAATTAGACCAAAATAAAATATTAAGTAAAAGAAGTAAGTTGCCAAAAATTTGGCTCAATTCGAGTTTTCTAACATATGGAAAAAAGGAAACGAAATATTACCATAAATAGTAAAAAATAACTTAAAATTGAATTTTGGAAAGGAAAACAGTGGATTTTGGACTCGAAATTGACGTCCACCGAGCATAGCTCGTGACCACGACGTGCGCGCCGAAGAGAGCTTTTCGGATTGGGGTCATAATAGCGATTCCGATAACCGTAGCCAAAGTTATGGCTAAATTACCAAAGACGCTTCAAATTCCCCCAATTAAGGAAATAATGGTGATTCACTTTCCATCTTTGCGCCGATCCGCCATCTCATGGTATCTCAACACTATCATCGTGCTATTTGACAAATCAGCATCACTCGACTAGGATCCTCCTACATCAGTCGCCGCTGGTTGAAAAGAACTCGCTCTCGAGTTCACAATAACTTCATCAGACTCCATAAAACAAGGGCTCAAGTGTTTTACATTGAATACGTCAAAGGTCTTCAAATGGCCCGGGAGGCGCAATATGTAAGCATTATCATTGATCTTTTGCAGCACTTCACAAGGTCCAATCTTCCGCTCCTTTAGCTTATTATATTCCCCAGCTGGAAAACGATCACGAGTTAATACTGTCCAAACAAAATCACCAACATCAAACAACACCTGGCGTGGATGACTATCTGTCTGAACTTTGTACTTAATATTACTATCCTGTATGGACAGCTTCACCTGCTCATGGATACCTCGAAGATGTTCAGCCATCTCATTAGCTTTGTTATTGAAGCGACCCACACGTGGAATTGGAACCAAATCAAGTACTCCGGATGGGTTTCAACCATAGACAATTTCAAAAGGACTCAGTCCGGTGGTTCTATTCCTCGACCGGTTATAAGCAAACCCTGCTTGAGGTAATGCCAAATCCCACTGCTTCGGTTTAGTCCCGGCTAAGCTTCTCAAAAGATTTCCCAAACTCCGATTCACCACCTCAGTCTGACCATCTGTTTGGGGATGGTATGCGCTACTAAAATTCAATTTCGTTCCAAGTTTCTCCCACAAACTTCTCCAGAAATGACTCATAAACTTAGTATCACGATCAGAAGTAATTGACCGTGGAACACCATGTAAACGCACAATCTCTCTGAAATAAAGATAAGCAATCCGAGTAGCATCCATTGTCTTCCGGCAAGCCACAAAATGAGCCATCTTTGAAAATCTGTCAACTACAACAAGAATGGAATCCATCGCCCGCTGTGTACGAGGTAAGCCCAAGACAAAATCCATACTGACATCAAACCAAGGAGCTTCAAGTACGGGTAATGGTGTATACAATCCAGCATTAGTAAGAGCCCCTTTAGACCGCTGACATACATAACACCGCTCCACATAATGCGCCACATCACTGCTCAACTTGGGCCAGTAATAATCAGAAGAGATCAATGCCAATGTCTTGTCTTGCCCAAAATGTCCTTCGTTATGAAGTTCACTAACAATCTGCTGCCTTAGTGAACAATCCGGAATGCATAACTGCAATCCACGAAACAGGTAACCATTATGTAAAACAAAATCATGTCCGTGATTATCAGTTACCTCCCAAATTATCTTCCCAAATGAAGGATCCGTAGCATACATATCAGGAAATACCTCAAATCCGACAATCTTGGTGCTCATGGTGGTGAGAAGTAATGTGCGACGGCTCAATGCATCTGCTACTCGATTCAAACTCCCTGCTTGATGCCTAAGTGTGAAAGTAAACACCTGCAAGTACGCCACCCACTTTGCATGTCGCCTACTCAGCTTGTGCTGACCATTGATGTACTTCAAAGCCTCATAATCAGTAACAAGGATGAACTCCCTCTGTACCAGGTAATGGTGCCAATGCTTCAGAGTCTGAACTATGGCATAGAACTCCAGGTCATAAGTAGAATAATTTTTCTTCGATCCCGATAACTTCTCACTAAAAAAGGCTACTGGACGTCCCTCCTGACTCAGAACACCACCAATGCCAACTCCAGACGCGTCACAGTTTACCTCGAACACCTTTTCAAAATTCGGAAGTGCCAAGACTGGGGCCTCCGTCATCTTCTGCTTAACCAACTGAAAGCTAGCCTCTGCCTCCTCAGTCCACTGAAAATCACGCCCTTTAAGGCACTCTGTGATAGGAGCAATCAAGGTTCTAAAGTTTCTGATGAATCGACGATAGAAGGATGCCAATCCATGGAAACTCCTGACATCGTGCAATGTTTTTGGTTTCGGCCAATTCAAAACTGCCTCAATTTTGAATTGATCTGCATGAACACCATCAGTAGACACAACAAAACCTAAAAAAGTTACAGAAGTCGTAAAGAAAGAACACTTATTCTGATTGATGAATAAGCGCTCCGTCCTCATTACATCAAAAACAGCATGAAGATGATTAAAATGTGACTCCCATATCAGACTATAAATAAGTATATCATCAAAATAAACTACCACAAACTTCTCCATGAAAGGCCGTAAAACTTGATGCATGAACCTCATAAAAGTGCTGGGTGCATTGGATAGTCCAAAAGGCATGACCATCCACTCATACAACCCATGCTGTGTTTTGAACGCGGTCTTCCACTCATCTCCAGGTCTGATTCTGATCTGGTGGTATCCACTTTTAAGGTCAATTTTTGAGAAGACCTTAGAACCGGACAATTGATCCAACATGTCGTCCAGACGGGGAATTGGAAACCTGTACTTCACTGTAATCCTATTAATTGCCCTGCTGTCAACACACATACGCTATGACC